ACACAAAATGAGTCAATAAATTCAAGAAGATTGAAACTATATCAAGCATCTTCTCTGACCACAATGGTATGAAACTATAAATTAGTCACAAGAAAAAAAATTGAAAAGTACACAAATGTGGAGACTAAATAACATGTTACTAAACAATGACTGGGTCAACAATAAGACCAAGGCAGAAATCAACAGTTACCTTGAGATAAATGAAAATGAACATATAACAACCCCAAAACCTATGGGACACGGTGAAAGCAGTCCTGCCTGGGAAGTTCCTAGTCTTACAGGCCTGCCTCAAGAAGCAAGAAAAATCTCAAATAAACAATCTAATCTTACACATAAAAGAACCAGAAAAAAGAATGACAAACAAAGCCCATGGAGAGTGGAGGAAGGAAAAATAATGATTAGATGTGGAAATAAATGACATAGAAACTAAAAAAAAAAAATCAATGAAACCAAGATCTGGTTCTTTGAAAAGATAAATAAAATTGACAAACCTTTACCCAGACTCATCAAGGATAAAAAGAAAGAGGACCCAGATAAATAAAATCAGAAATAAAAGACAAGTAACAATTTAACAGCACAGAAATACAAAAAAATGTAAGAAAATATTACAATTATATACCAACAAATTGGACAACCTGGGCAAAGTGTATTAATTCCTAGAAACACAATCTTCCAGACCAGAATCAGGAGAATCAGAAAATCTGAATAGACCAATTACAACTAATAAAGTCAAAGCAGTAATCAAAAAACTCACAGCAACAAAAGTCCTGAGCCAATGGATTCACAGGCAAATTTTCCCAGACATTCAAAATAAGAACTAACACCCATTTTTCTCAAACTATTCCAAAGAACTCAAAAGGAAGGAGATTCCTAAGCTCATGTTTATGAGGCCAGCATTGTCCTAATTTCAAAACCAAATAAACATACTACAAAGAAAGAAAATTATAGGACAATATCCCTGATGAATGTAGATGCTAAAATCCTCAACAGAATGTTAGCAAATCAGATTCAGGGATACATCAAAAGATCATACACCATGATCAAGTGGGATTTATTCTGGGGATACCAAATTGATACAATATTCACAAATTAATAAACATGATATACCACATAAATAAAATGAAGGATAAAAATCACATGATCTATTAATTGATGCACAAAAAGCATTTGATAAAATCATGCACCCATTTATGATAAAAACTCAGCAAAGTAGGAACAGAGTGAACATTTCTCAATCTAATAAATACCATATATGACAAACCCACAGTTAACATCATACTCAACAAGCAAAGACTAAAACCATTTCCCTGAAGATCAGGAACAAGATGGGACATCTGCTTTCACCTCTGTTATTCAACATAGTACTGCAGGTGCTAGCTGCAGCAATCAGACAAGAAGAAATAAAAGGCATCCAAATTGGAAAGAAAAAAGTAAAACTGTCATTATTTGCAGATGACACGATACTCTACGTAGACAATCCCAAAGATTCCACAAAAAAAAACTACCAGAACTGAAAATTGCATTCAGTAAAGTAACAGAATACGAAATTACTATTCAGAAACCAGTGCCATTTTTCTACATCGGTAACAAACTATCAAAAAAGAGAAACTAAGAAAACAGTCCCATTTACAATTGCATTAAAAAAAAGTACTTGGAATCAAGGAGGTAAAAGACCTATACTTGGAAAATTATAAGATATTAAAGAAATAAAATGAGAAAAATACAAATAAATGGGGAATTTACCATGTTCATGGATAGGAAAAATAAGCATCATTTTTCAATATCCATACTATCCAAAGCAATCTACAGATTCAACACGATTAATATTAAAATACAAATGACATATCTCATAGAACTAGAACAAATATTCCAAAAATTTACATGAAACTACAAAAGATCCCAAATAACCTCAGCAACATTAAGGAAGAAGAACAAAGCTGGAAGATTAATGCTACCTGTTATCAAACTATACTACAAGGCCATAGTCATCAAAACAGCATGGTACTGACATAAAAACAGGCACAGTAGAGACCGCGGAAATAAACCTATGCCTTTATGGTCAACTAATGTTTGGAAAAGGAGGAAAGAACACACAAAAGGGTAAAGATAGTCCATTCAATAAATGTTTTGGGGAATATTGGACAGATACATGCAAAAAAATTAAACTAGACCTCCTCCTTACACCTTAAACAGGAATGAACTAAAAATCTATTAAAAACCTAAATGTAAGTCTCAAAATCATAGAAAAACTCTTACATGAGCAGAAAACATGGGCAGTAAAGTCTTAAACATTTCTCATAGAAATATTTTTTCTGATATATCACCTCAGGGAAGGGAAACAAAAGAAAAAAATAAACAAATAGGACTACATCACACTAAAAAGCTTTTTCACTTTGCTAAAAAGCAAAAGAAACTATCAACAAGTAAAAATACAGCTCACTGAATAGGAGAACATATTTGCTGATGATACATCTGATATAGGGTTAACATCCAAAGTTTACAAAGAGCTTATGCAACTCAACACCAAGAAAAGGAATAATCCAATTAAAAATTGGGCAAAGGCCCTTAAAAGACACTTCTCCAGAGAGGATATACTGATGACCAATGAACATATGGAAAGATGTTCAATATTACTAATTGTCAGAGAAATGCAAATTAAAAAGATGAGATATCACCTCATACCTGTCAGGATGGCTATCATCAGGAAATAGAAAAACAAGTGCTGGCAAGGATGTGGGGAAAGGAAAACTCTTTTGCAATGTTGGTGGGAATGCAGATTGGTGTAGCCACTATGAAAAGTAGTATGCAGTTTCCTCAAAAAAATTAAAGATGAAACTGACTCATAATCCAGCAATTCTATTTCTCAAAATATATCCGAAGAAACCCAAAACATTAGTTTGAAATAATATATGTACCCCACGTTCATTGTAGCAGTATTTACAATAGCCAAGATCTAGAAACAGCCCAAGCAGATGAGTGGAGAAAAAAGCTGTAGTACATTTACACAATGGAATACTATGTGGCCATAAAAAAAAAAAAAAGGAAATCTTACCTTTTGCGACAGCATGAATGGACCCGGAGAGTATTATACTAAGTGAAATAAGACGCACAAGTACCATATGATTTCTCTTATATGTAGAATCTAGTGAACAAAATAACAAAAATAGAAACACGCATAAATACAGAGAATAGACTAACAGCTGTCAGAAGGGAGAGGGTACAGAGGGCTGGGTGGAAAAGGTAAAGAGATTAAGCAAAAAGAACGAACAAACAAAAAAAATCAGAGAAACAGTATGGCGATTGCTGGAGGGAAAGGCGGGGGCAGAAGAGGGTAAAGGGGATAGAAGGAGAGTTGACTTCAAGGGGTGCATGCACAGTACGGTACAGAAATGACAAATTATAGAATTGTATACCTGACACCAAACAATTTTATTAACCCGTGTCGCCCCAATAATTTTTTAAAAATAAGGTCACAATCCTCCCCTTTCCTTCCCATTTAAATCCATGTCATCATTATGAACAGGTAATGTGTGTCTGAGGGAGAGGTATGGAGTATATAAATATTTTTATATGCATTGAATTTCATATAAATGACATCATAAAATTTAAAAAATGAAGAAACAAGGAGAGTTCATTTTTACCTATAAAATATTTTGGAAATTGAAGAATTAGTAATAATAATTACTGTATTAATAAAAGAAATGTATTTTTAAGTAAGTAACTACGGTTGCCAGACACCGAAGGGTTAAAGAGACATCTGTAGATACAGAGGACACGTGACAAAGAAGCTCATTGCAGAGCAGAGCACTCGCATGACACAACCGTGTGTACTATACTCCTAAATGAAAAGTGTGAACAGACAATTTGAGATGAAAGGCAGCTAAGACCTAAATCCCCCAAATCAGGCTACTGTCCCGTTAAAAGGATAGAGACAGATGCTGACATCACAACCCTCCTCCTAGACAGAGGGTTCCATGGGGGTTGGTGGTGAGTCCCTCATAACAATCATACGACTCCAAGAGGTCCCAGAGCAGCTCTCAAAGAAAATTCAGAACCAAAGTTCCGGTGCTCACTTTATCTCCACCCTTGGCGATCCAGAGAGTCCGTCGGGTCACTAAATGTCTCCTGCTCTGCTTCCTCGCTTACTTACTGGGAAGGACATCTGTGCAATGTGTCTTGGCAACATTACCTACGAAAGGAATGAGATCATGTGCAGAGGCAGCACAATCTCAAATGTCTCCTTTACCGCAATTTTCTGTTAAACACTATCAGCATCTGAATTTTTAGCCTTGTTTCAAGTTAGTCTGTATCTTTCCTCTCCTAGTGCCTTTTATAATTAGTGTGGTAACCTTCCGGCTATGTAATTATATAGGGCTCCCCTTATTTCCCTTGTCTATTTCCCCCCACAACCACCATTCCCTGTTCCAGTGCAGTAAGCCACCCCCAAAGCCACGCCACCCCTGGCTAGCACAACATTTATGCTCACTGGTTAAGTACCAGTAAAGCGTAGCCTGCTCAGGATATTTTCTCACTTACCCAAGGATGAGTGGCTAAACTGTGGTCGCCAGAGCAAAAAGCAATGGGGCACAATTATTTATCTTCCAGTTGCTAGAGATGCGTCTGGTAACTTGTATGGGGAGCTTCACAACCAAGGGTATTCCCATGAAGCCAGGAGAAAGGCAGGAGTAATGGCTTATTTCCAAATCTCCCACATTCATTGATTGAGTCAAAACAAATCCCACTTACACTTTCTCACTCCCTAACTGATTTTTCAGAGATTGAGTCATCTTTTCATCATTATCTTCGACAAGATTCTCTCCTGTGAAGCAATCAGTCAACATGTACCTGTGATCACATGACACTAACCCCCTAAAAAAGTTGCTTGAAATTGAAAACAAATAACAAATGACATGTTCTTAAAAGTAGACAGCCTTCAACTTCACCACACTGTAGGACCTCTATAGGACAGTGAGGTTAGCAAAGATTCAAGGTCAACTCACCCAGCTGTGTCACTCGAAACTGGTCTGTCCTCCTGCTTCCTGCCTCTGCAACCGCTACCCTAATAATTAAGCTCGTTAATTTGCTCAATGGCGTTATTTCTCACTGAAATCCTCTCAACACAAAATAGACATTTCAATCTTAAATGGTCTCAATTTTTTTCTAAAGCCTGGCATAAGTGAGTAAAAGAGCAATAAGTCAGATTGCAAAGAATATTGTGAAATCGTTGTTGATTTCTGCTTTTCTTACCCTAGCTCTCGCCCTCCTCTGAAAGTACCCGCTACATTGATTGCTTCATCCCTCCGTCTGTCTGCCCACCAGCCGTTTGTGCGCATTAAGGTGCACAGCTAACAAACCCACCGGTGAATTCATGTTTCACCCTGATTCTCAGCAGAAGAGGGAAAAATGGGTTTAACTGTCTTTTCCCAAAAGAAGTATGGAGAAACTATTTTTCATTATTAAAAGCATAAGGAAAAAAATGAAACTAATCCAAAAGTCAGGAAACTATTTTTATATAGAAAAAATAGATGAACTTTGGCCAGACGTTGTAACATCAGTAACTCCCCTGGAAACCATATTTCCACTCTGTAATAGTGTCCCCGGTGATGGGGAACTGAGTCAGCAGACATGCGATGCCTGTGGCTTGCCTCTGGCTCGGGAAGGGTGGGGAGGCCCGTGTGACCCCTGACACTGGCTCACAGTCCTGAAAGGCCACACCAGGAACGCCTCCCAGTGCCAGGTGAGGTCACAAGCAGGTAGAGCACTTCCACTGCTGTAACACGAAGGGAATGTGTTTTCCACTCGCCAGAAAGAAGAATCTGAGCAGCTTCTCCTGAGGCAGTTCTTTCCAGGTGAGTCACCAGTTCTCACTGGGGGCAGGTGAAGTTCACCAGGAAGGACCCACTCAACCTTCCGGGCTGGCAGGAACCACGTGTTCTGCTGCTGAATCCCCACATTCGGCTCATCTCCAAACACATTTCTATCTAAATTTCTAAAGCAAAAAAAAATATATATATATACCTAACCATTGTCCCCAGCCATCTCTCCTTTTATAGGATCATTTCATAAATACTTAATTGTCTGTTATGTGCAACGCATGGCACCAGGCCTTGGATTGACAATGTTTAATAGGAAAAAAAAAAAGAAGAAAACAAAACCCTGCATTCTTGAGTCAAATGGGAAAAACAGTAAAAGAACTGAGGAAGGTTCTGAGACGGAGACAAGCAGGCCGCCATGGCAGAGACTAAATGAGCAGGTCGCGCCCAGGCAGTGCCATGTTCTAACTCATGCCGTGCTTGTTAAAATGCAGGCTCCAGTTTAATGGGGCCAGGGGAGGGTCTGGGGCTGGGATGTCCTGCCAGGCCCTAAGGTCTGCCGCTGGCCCACAAAGCACACTTCTTAATAACTGAGGCCCTCGGGTTTCTCTCCATCGGTGGTTCTCAAAGTGTGCTCACCAGACCAGCAGCTTCAGTGTTACCTGGAAACTTGTTAGAAATGGAAAATCAGAAGCTCTGGGGCGGGGCCCAGCAATCCGTACTGTAACCATGGCCCAAGGCGATTCTGATGGCTGCTAAGCCCCGGCACAGAAGTCACCAGCCACGTGTGGCTATTGAGCACCCACATGGTGTCTCGTCTGAACTGAAACATGCTGTGTGTGTGTATAGGTTACACAGCAGATCTCAGGACTTATTAATTATTGTTCTATAAATGCTGGTTGAAATACTAGCTTGAATATAATTGGTTAGCAACATTAAACTAGTTTCACCTGTTTTAGTTTGCTTGCCTTAATGTGGCTACTAAAATTGTTTAATTACTCATGTGGTTAACTTTACAGTTGCACTGCGCAGAGCCACAGTGGACTTTGAGAATCACTGCTGTAGAGCAATAGCTCTCAGCTGGGACAGTTTGCTCCCCAAGGGACATTTGGCAGTATCTGGAGATGTTTTTGGTTGTCACAAATGGGAATGGAGGGTTTATTGGCATCTAATAGATGAAGGCTGGGAGGCCACTAAATATTGTATAATGCACAGGATAATCCCCCCCACAAAGAATTACCCAGGTCAAACTGTCAACAGTGTTATTGCAGAATTGTATACCTGAAACCGATACAATGTTCTTAACAATGTCACGCCAATAAATTCAATTTAAAAAATTGTCAGTAGTGTGGAGGATGAGAAATCTGTCTAGTGATTCTGCACATTAGACTTACTCAGGGAGAGTTAACAATACTAATGTCCTTGCCCTTGGCCTATCCCTAGACTAATTAAATGAAAACTCTGGTACCAAGGCCTTGGCATTGCTTGTTTGCTCTGTTTTGCTTTTTAAGTTCCCCAGGGAGTCCAATGGCCAGCCAAGGCTGAGAAACTCTGTCAGAGAAGGAAGTTCAAGGGCCTCACTCCTGTACAAAAGCTCAGCACCCAGACCTGAGGTCTGCATTTCCACCGGGTTCCCAGGTGATGCTGTTGCTGCTGCCGCATGTCCTGTGGAGCATTTTACACCCTATTCAATGAAGTACTCAGCATGTCCACTCCCCAGACAGCCCCGCACAGGAAGAATGCAGTCCCACCAGTCCGGGGCAGCTGCTTCCTGCAGAGGAGAAGACAGTCCCACTACCAGAGGTCCCCCCTGACTAGAACCTGACACTCTTGTCATAGTGGCTTCCTGTTTTTGCTGAGACAGATGCGGCTCTTTTATGGAATGGGCGGGGGGAACAATAAAGATTTTAGAGGTCAAATAATCATGTCAATCCTTTCTGCCCAGCATTGCAGGCAGGGAACAAATATTTTAGTTACAGCTTCATGAAACCCCTTCCGCTTGACTCTTTAATTTCTGACAACACACAATTCAGTAGCTTTAAAGCATGTATTTACATATTATAAAAGTGTACACATTAATAACTTGCCCCTAAAACTAATTACTAAGAAAGCAGGAATCAAGGAAAACTGCAGCTTTAAATATTATGTGGTTCCCTACTCTGTAAATAACATTTGAAATACACAGGTAAATCTAAAGAGAGGACCCTATGTGCACACACAGGCACTCACACATTCACACACGTGTGTGTGCACTCACGGACACACAGGATTTCCTTTCTGAGCACACTGCTTCCTTGTTCTACCCCGGGACACTGCCCAGGCCTCCTTCATTCCCACTCCACCCCCCGGCGGCCTCACAGCCCTTCTCTAAGGCCCTTTCCCCCCTGTTTTCTCAATGGGTGGTTTCCCACCTCCTCCCAGTCTTTGCTCAGCTTTCACCTTCTTTCTCCCATCTGCACCCCTCTTTTCAACCATTTTCCCCTGCTTTTTCTCCATAGTATTTACCATATTTCACCAGCACTGCTGGCTTTGCTGCTTCTGTGTATTGTTTATTGTCTGCCTTCCATGCAAGAGTCTAAGCTCCACAAGGGTAGAAATTTTGGTTTTGCTCATTGACATGACTCAGAGGCCCAGAATGCATGATCCAAGTAGGCAGGCAATGAATAGTTACTGATTAAATAGGTGTTTTTTTAAACCAAAAATACTTCATTTTTCTCACAACTTCACTGTTTTTATTAGGTATGTTGTTCCCAAGATTCTTTTTGGAGGCTGTACCGTGGCTCTGCCCTGAGCAAGGGATTAGAAAGCCTATTTGACAGGCCATCACCAGTTTAATTGAGAATCCAAGCACCTTCTGGAACGGAAATGCTGTCACTGAGATGGCACCACGGTTAATGCTGTGAAATAATCATAGTCAAGGTCAAAGAGGTCTACAGAGGCCAGGCTATTACAACTCTTGCAAACTGTGTACTTGGAAAGCCCCCAGAGGTCGGAGCCGGCAGGTTAGGCAGAGACTGAGCATGACGACATGGGGTAGATAAGGCCCCATAAACCACCCTGGGGACTCCAGTGTCTCTGGTCCTAGTCCCTCTGCCCCTGACCATCTGATAACGCCCGAGCTGTACCACCTACAAGCACAGGGGCACCCATATTCCGATTGTCTTCGTCGGCTTCAACCGAAACAGTACATCATAAAAGATTAAATACTGAAACAAGTATGGAGTGTAGCTGTCTTCTATTAAGCCAACCATTAAGGAGATTGGCAAAAAAAAGTAAAATAAGGAGATTTGGGGAAAAGGTAAAATAATGCCACTATTCCCACTGTCTGGGGGGGCAGTTTGAAAATAGTTATTTTTATAAAAATATGTTATTTATGTTAACAGGCAACCACTTTATTATTTTAAACAAATTAATGCATAAATTTTAAGTTAATTTCTAATATATATATATATATATATATATATATATATATATATATATATATATATACTCCTACATACATGTAACTCCTGTAAGCAACAACTCTTTTCGGAGTCCTCAACAGCTTTCCCAAGTATGAAAGTGCCCAGAGCTTGAACACTGTGAGAACTACTGTACAGGATGGAGCAAAGCAAAAGGAAACAGGCCTCTTGTGGGAAACAAACTTTGCGAGTAGGCTATTGAGTAAGCAGAATGAAACATGCTGATAAGAAGGAAGAAGTCAACCTGCTTATAAAACAAATAAACAAAGCCATGGAAAGGACTGGAAAGAGTCTAAATTGGGTTCTCCATGTTCTCTTCGTTGTGGCTATTTACTGTCAGAGATAACCGAACTGCTACCCGGGGCACACTCCGCACCCACTTCTGACCCTGCCCCTCTCTCTGCCCACAATGATCTTCTACCAGATAGCCACATAACTAACCTCCTCACCTCCCTCAAGTCCTTTATCACAAATCGTCCTCCCAAAGACAGCCCGGTTCAAAACCGCAACCACCCGCCCTCCATCCAGCTTTGCCTTTCCTCTTTCCCTAGCATTTGGCGCCTGCTGCAACACCACGCAGCCCATTTGTTTACGCCTCTACTGGCGGCGTCTGCCCTTGCAAGGATGGAGGGTCCGGGAAGGAAGGCTTTTCGTAGGTCTTGTTCTCTAGCCCACTCCCCTGTTCTACAGCAGTGCCCGAAAGAGCAAATACTTGATTCAGTGAAGGAGCGTGAGTTATGCAGATGGGGACAGTGGAGCTCAGGACATCGAGACTGGCCCCCAGGCCTCAGCAGAACGTGGCGCTGCACCCTGGTTCAGAGGATCGCCAGGTGTACCATCTTCAGAAA